GGAAAAAGTGACGGTAGGGGAGGAACACCACCAAAGGGCATATCCGGTGGAAACGGCAGGTTTTTCGCTTCGGTGGTGGGGGGTGTGACCATTCCATCGGCCGGCTTTTGATCATTGAGACGGCGAGCTGCGGTTGTTTCAGGCGTGAGGTGGAAGATCAAGATTAGGGTTAGGGCTAAAGTGATGACTGCTGAAGAAGCCATTTGTTTTATGTGCTATGCTAATGTTTCTGTCTGCTGCAATAGCTGATATTTGGTGTGAGTATATAGCCCTACACTTTATTTAGTTTGATTTAGTGTTTGCACAGCATTTAACGAACTTTTTATTTTATATAAAAATATTAACCGACGACGTGTCTGCGTATATATTGCAGTAACTTGTAAAGAATATGGTTTTATCAAAAACGAAAAAAAAAAGCTTGTATATATGGTTTTATCAAAAAAGAAAGAAAAAAAAAGCTTGTTATATATATGGTTTTTTTTAACAGGAACCATCTTAGATCTTATACCGCAATCCAGACTATATCCGATATCCATCAAAATATGAAATTATTGTAATTTAAAATGTTCATCGAAACCAAGTAGGGTGATGAAATATTTTTTTTTTTTGTTTGGAACATTTCATTATCTAACTTTTTTTGTTTTTGTTTTATTTATATCATCACTAGTAGTTACTACTGGGCCTAACCAACAATCCCGGGATGAGCTTTGCTAGGAATAGCCGCCGCCGCACGCCGGAGCACTGAAGAACCATTACACAAATAAAGGGGAAGACCCATTACACAAATAAAGCCCAAACGAAAACCTTACACTACAAGAAAACAGACATTTAGCGTCAGCGTAATTCGACGTTAATTCGACGCTAATAGCCCTTAGTGTCGAATTAGCATCGAAATCATTTTCGACGCTAAACCCTCGACGCTAATTAATTTCGACGCTAAATCGACGCTAATTTTGCGTCGCAACTAATTACGACGCTAAATCGACGCTAATTGTTCGACGCTAATTCGACGCTAAATAGCATCGATTTAGCGTCATAGTCTTTCGATGCAACAAATCGACGCTAAATCGATGCTAAATAGCATCGATTTAGCGTCGTTTATAATTTTTTTTTTTTTTAAAAATATAAAAATATTATAAAAATATATTAAAAATATTATAAAAATATATTAAAAATTAAAAACATTATAAAACAAAATATGCGATACAAAT